GCTGGTGCCGCTGCCGCTGCTGCTGCTGCTGCTGCTGCTGGTGTTGGTGCTGCTGCTGCTGCTGCTGCCGCTGCTGCTGGTGCGGCCGGTGTTCCTGAGCCTAGGAGTATGCGTGTTGCTGCTGGTGGGGATGGCGGTGGGGGTAGTGGAGCGTTTGGTGCTGCGGCTGGTGTTGCTGGTGGTGGGGGTTCTGCTGATGGTGCCGGTGCTGCTGCTGCTGGTGTTGACGGTGTTGGTGGGAATGACGGGAGTGACAGTGATAGATTTGCTGATGCCGTTGGTCCTGTCTCAGGTGCTGGTGCTGGTGCTGGTGGGGCAGCGGGTGCTAGTCTGGCTGCTGATGGTGGTTCTGATGGTGTGGTGAAGGGAGGCGTGGGTGGGAGTGGGGGTGAAGGAATCCAAACCAGAGGAGGGAGGACAAGCAGGAAGAAGCAAGGAGAGGAGCGCATGGCGGGAGCAGCAGCCTCAGGGGAGCTGGGAAAACGAGAAAAATCACCAGCAGGAGCAGGAGGAGGAGGGGGGGGATGCACGCGGACAGCAGAGGGGGTATCCGAGGCGGTGGCAACTGTAGGCTCTAGGGAAGCTCCGGTGGAGGACAGCCGTGGGGGAGGCAGCCGCAGCAGGCGGGGGGAGGGTGGGACTGGGGGAGGGTTTGACGGACTGGGGGGCAATGGAGGCTCGACAGCAGAAGAAGCAGCAGAAGAAGCAGCAGCAGCGGAGGGAGCGTCAGGTGCTGCTGGGACAGACACTCTGAGTGCTGGCCTCAGGTAGCTTCAGGTGCCTCAGGGTGGTTCAGGTGCCACACAGATCACTTCAGGTGCCTCAGGTAGCTTCAGGTGCTTCAGGGTGGTTCAGGCGCCTCAGGTAGCTTCAGGTGCAGGAGTGGTGGGAAGGGCAGGAGTGGTGACAAGGGCAGGAGTGGTGACAAGGGCAGGAGTGGTGACAAGGGCAGGAGTGGTGACAAGGGCAGGAGTGGTGGGAAGTGGGGGGATGATAGAAAAGGCAGCAGCAGCCGCTGCTGCGTTGTTGTTTTAGGGAATACAGTTACAGTAGCCAGTAGGTACTTTGTCTGTGGGGGGTGCCTTTAAGGGTGTTTTTAGCTGGTAGGTGAGGTGACGGAGTGAGGTAAGTATAGTGAGGCGAGACCACAGCGGCCAATTCCAATGCAGGCTGCTGGTGGAGGGGTAGTGTGGTTCTCAGTGGTGCGAGTCTCTGCAGTGCGGTCAGCAGTGGTTCTGCTGCAGTTTGTGTGTGTTCTGCATGTGTACTGTAGTGTGTGTGCGTGTGTGTGTGTGTGTGCTTGTGTGTTAAGGCGTGTCAGTGCGCAATCCGGGGTGCTGACATTGGCAGCAGTAGCAGCAGCAGCAGCTGTGGTTATTATGGAAACCAAAACTCAAGGAGTGTGGATTTTCAGTAGGGAGGAGCAGTTTTAAGAGGGAGGGAAGGCAGGGGTGGGGAGGAGCATTTAGGAGCTTCCATCTCATCCCAATCCGCAGCTGCCAAAAGGGTGGTGAGAGGAGGGGGGATAGAGTTAGGAGGGGTTCCTTTGTAGGGAGGATAGAGTCGAGCTGGGAGCAGCAATCGTGGTGATCTCCCACAAGAAATACCTTTCAACAGGCGTGTTTCTGTGGCTGATTTGAGGCGACAAACAAAGGGAAGCTGCTATGGAAGTGGGTGTGGGTGTGGGGATGAAAACAAAACCGGAGGCAAGGAAGGTGCTGGTTAGGGTGCGCTTCTGGTTGGCCCAAAAGTTACAAGTTGTGGGGATTTAAATAGGGCCTCGAGAGAGCATGTTCTGCTTCCACAAATGCTCTGCGAGTTGCCGATGAATCAACTCAAAAGTTACTTGTACGGTACCTGGGTGGGGATAAAGCGGACCAGCCTTGTTCTGCTTGTTCTGTGTTGATCTCTCTCAGCCCAACATTCTGAGAGTGCATGCAACGTGCTGTGTGCGGCACATGACAGGGAGCAGAACTCTGGAGTCTGGACAGTGCAGAGGGTTTGCAAATAGCAAGGCATAGTTGATCCATAGATTCATAAGTGAAGGGCTGGTGATCAAGTTTGGGGATACAATAAGAGTGTTTGGAGAGAGCTGCACGAGGTAAGAGTTGAGTCCTCGATTCAGGGGAGCACTAGGGTATGTTGGTAGAAAAAAATGACATAGATTTTTCGTTCTGTTTTCCCTTCATGTTGTACACTATTTCACCAGTGTCTACCTGTATGTCAGTTATGTGAGGGTATGTCTTTGTTACGAAGTGAAAGTCAAAGTTTAAGCCCTTATGGCTTAAATAAACTGGATAAATAAACTGGAATTGAATCATGCGGTACGTTCCTTCAAGATCTCTAGGACTTCCTGTCTGGCAGATACTGATTCTTTCTACATTTTCGGTGCTGTACCAAATCACATCGACCCACCCTCCGTGCACTTTGTTGCCGTGCAACTTGCTTGGTTCATTTTGTTGTCCTGCAACTTGAGCAATCTTCTGATACGAGGACTGCCACGTAAGGGTGATTCGGTTGGCATTAAGTTGCCACGTAGATACGAGTGTCACCGCACAGATTTGACGTGCACCGTTCTTTTCTTCATTGAATGCAACACCGTTAAAATTTTGCGAGTGGGATGCTACAAGGGTGTCCCAAAATGTAAAAGAACTGGAAGGGGGGTTTACGTCAACCAAACCCAGCCATCACCATTCCCTTCCCAATTGACAAAATACATTATTTTATTCACGTTCACAAATAAAAAGTTCTCACCTCACAAAACACCACTGGCCTCCCTCCCTCCCGTTCCGTTCAGTCCCACTTTCCTTCATGTAGTTTTTTGTCAACGTTATTTTCCCCGCCCATTTCGTCTGCTTGGAATATTGGCGTCGACACCGGAAGGCTGAAGAAGGTTCCAGCCCTGCTGGTTTCCTCGTAGTGATGCATAATTCGCTGTGCTTTGAAAGGGGTGGGGGGGGAGGGGGGGGGGATGTTGGGGGGTGGTGGGGGCGAGGGGATGGTCAGCCCAACAGGCGAACATGTCAAAAGAATGTTTCCTCCAAAACCTTGCCTTGGGGGCAGAACAGAAACTTTGAAAGGGCAGCGATGGAGGCTCACGGTGGGACGGGAAATGATGTACAATATTCTGTATGTCATCATTAATGTTAGGGACTTTCCTGACTTTCTACCAATAGCATCTCTCAGAATTGCCAGCGCAAATCCATCTAGATGCTCATTCCTGCCTTTCACCGATGACTGGGTTGATGACCACTGCCTCAACTTTGGCTCTTTCGATGTCGCTTGAATGTCCATTGTCTTGTTGCGCCTTGTGGTTTTTACTGTTTTACATATTTGTCCTTCCTACGATTCGTCCCTTCGATTCTCATTTCAACCAAATTTTGGGTGATTTCCACTGAACTGTGCGACCGACGGCCCACTCTGCTTGAGCTCCGCAATTTTCTCTTTCTATCTGTGAACATTGTGTTACCGTTTTCGTAAACAGGGGTTCATAGCCCCATGACGAAGTACTGCCATCGATAACCAGCAAACACACATGTTTTGCGACTGCTTGCACGATGAATAACGGACAACAGCGAATTCTGAGACGACGTTACTAAGGAGCCTTCCTACCAAGCTTCCCATCCCGTCCATTTCCGCATCTCGTCGACTTTTTTGAAACAGTGGTCCTCCCACCTCCCCTGCATTTGAACGGCTCTCCTTCGCCTTCTCCCACCACCCGTGCTGACACGAACGTCGTCTGTTCGACTCGATTGACAGACATGGCAACAAAAAATCTCTTTCCCCTCTCTCTCAACTCAACATTCGACTGCGGCGGAAGAGTGCTTGCCGCTACGCGGCCCATTTTCTGTTGGTCAAACCAGCGACGATCAGTGCTCTTTTAGTTCAGTCCTCCTCCCCAGCACGCACATACACGCACGAGCCACGACGACTTCTCCTTGCCATCTCCCCTCCCCACTGCTCATCTCCTCCTCTCATGTCATCGCCTTGCCCATATGGGGTGAATGTTCTGCTCAATGCACTACAGCAACTTGAGCATTGCTAGATTCTGCAAGGACATCCATTCACCTGCCAGTGGCAGGAGTAATCGTCTTCGTTTTTCCAGTTGGACAGCGACGACGGGAATCTGGAATGGAAAGCTGGCTAGATTTGCACTTCAACCATTTATAGTAGTTCTAGAAGTTGCGTCATTTTCAGAGTTACGCAACTTTTCAGGATCTTCAGCGCGTTCTCATACTTTTTTCCAGCTGTCTTGTTGCTACGCGGCAACGCTCCTTTCTTTTAGTACAATACTAGGAGACACTCGCGCGCTCGCTCGTGCTTACTCGTTCGACCAGATTTTTGTAGTCTGGCCAGAGCCGACTCGGTTTATCGAGTTTTGAGACATCTCAAAACCCGATTCAATTATCGTTAGAAGGAGCCAGCCCATGACTGGATTCGATGATGGCGCGATGGCCGAGCATCATAGTCCTACTAATGTGTCAGACGAAAAACCAATCATTCAACTGGACGGGGAACAACGTCGACGTCAAGAAAGTGGTCATCATCAGGCGGAGCGACGGACACCGTTATTGTTGCCGCTGCTACAAATTCCAGACGATGACGTGGCGGCTTCAGCGTCGGTGGCGCCGCGTGACGCGGACGAGCACTTATTAAACCCGCGACGTCGCGGCAATGACGGTGATACCAATACTCAACATGAAATCGGAAATGTCGACGAGCGCTTACGCTTCCTGTCTAATCAACGTCGCTGGGAGAGAATCGGGACCGTAGAATCCGTGATGATCGGCGCGACGGACGGTGGTGATTCTCAGCATGATCTGATGCGCCTTAGAACTGATCAAGCTCACGACAATCGCGACGATCGCGACACTCGCGACACTCGCGACACTCGCGACGACGGTCGTCATCATCCCTCGCCGATGAGTCGTGAGAGTCAGCGTCGGCGACAGCGTGATAGGACTCCCGAACCGCCACCTTCCTCGCCACCGCCAAGCGGAATGCAGCAAACTTGGCTCGCCTCCGCCCCCGGCGGAGTCGCGGCCGCGGCTTTCACGCAAAATCCCCTGCATTTTCTCCAGCAGGCCACCGCGCCTCCCGCCGCACTTCTCCGCGCGTCTCCCGCCGCAATACCCGCACCAATTCCGTTTCCAACCGCTCAGGCCGCAGCCGCGGCAGGATTTCGCACGGAGATGGCTCCCGCGGCGCCGTTCTCGTCACCGGCTATCGCGGCGGGCGTCGCGCCCGTGCCGTTTTCGTCGCTTGTCGCATCGTCCGCTCTGTGGAGCGCATTGGCGCAACAGCTCTCATCGGCGCAACAGATCGCGTCGGCGCAACAGATCGCGTCGGCGCAACAGATCTCGTCGGCGCAACAGATCTCGTCCGCGCAACAGATCTCGTTGGCGCAACAGCTCTCATCGGCGCGACAGATCTCATCGGCGCAGCAATTCTCGTCGGCGCAGCAGCAGCGGAACTTGTCGGCGGAAGAGCTGCGGATGTCGTCCGCCGTCGCCGCAACTCCCGCCGGCGGCGGCGCCGGTGGCGGAGGAGCCGGATACGGCGGCGGCCGCGTCGGCGACGGCGCGACTTCGCAGGGAGTCGCAGCGTTGCGACCGCCGCCCAGCGGGCGACCGCCGGACGACTCCGGCGAACCGTCGCTTGAGCTGAGCGACTGGCTTACGCGAATTACTCGAATTCCTGACCCTTTGGGTGGTCTGCGCAGTGGTAACCCGGTTTCCGGCGGGAACCAGCATAATGCTGGTGTGTTTGATGCGAGATTGCTCGGGCAAAGCGCGTCACACGCCGTCGGCGGCGGAAACGTACGGAAAAGCGGCGGAAACTGGCTAGGGGGGGAGGGCGGAAGCGGAAGGGGAAGTGCTGCGGAGGGCGGAAGGGGCAGGGACGAAATGGTTTCGTTTCCGCAGGGGGAGCGAATGAGCGACGCCGCGTCGTTTCCCTGGCGCGCGGGGAGCTTCCGCGTGTCACCCACCGAGCGCGCGACGCCCGGCGAAGCGAAGGGGGACGCCGCCTCAGCGGAGCTTTTCTCGTCTCCGCGTGAGCCACGCGCAGCACAGGGGGGAACAGCGATTGCGGGCTCGTTTAGCACAGGAGGCGGCGGAAACGTGGGTGTCGCGGGTTTAGCGTGGGGAGTGGCGGGTGGAGGTTTCCGCCCGCATGGCGGAAGCGCGAACGCGAACGTGAGCGGGAGCGCGGGCGGTGAGAGCGCGGAAGGGCGCATGGAACGAAGCAGCAGCTTCAGATCTATGGGCGGCGGCGGCGAGCAACAGCCTGCCTTCCGAACAGATAATGCTACAGCCGCAGGGAGAGCAGCAGCAGCAGCAGCAGCAGCAGCAGCAGCGACAGCTGCGGCGACAACAACAGAAGCACAAAGAGGCACCATCATGGCAAGTCCCAGATCTACTACTACTACTCCTAGACTCGCAGGGGAGGGATTCACCGCAGCGCAGGAGACTAGGGCTTCAGGGCAGGAGCAGTTGAACGCTTCCGGTTCCTGTTCAGGACGGAGGGGAGTGGCAAAGGGAGAGGCGAAGGAAGAGGCGAAGGTAGCAACAGCAGCTGCTAGGGGGCTTGGGGCCCTTGGGGGCGTTCGGGGGCTTCAGGAGATTCAGGAGATGAAGGGGATTCGAGAGGGGTTTGCGGGGTTTGGAAGTGGTGGTGGTTCTTTTGAAGGGCGTGCCGCAGCAGCAACAACTCAAGAACCAACGTCCCCTGCTGTTCAATTCGCTGCAGCAGGGGCCGCAGCCGCTGCTGCTGCTGCCGCCGCTGATGCTGCTGCTTCTGCTGAAGCCACTGCTGTTGCGAGTGCTGATCCCGTACCTCTTTCTGCAGCAGGCTCGGACTCACTTGGTTCGGCAGAGGTTCGGTCACCCCCCGGCCTCGCCCAGCAGCGGCTGTTCAGCCTTGGGGGACCTTCCTTGTCCCCGCTGCTGGATTCAACTGCCTGGCCGCATGCAGGTGCGGCGGAGAACCGACCCTGGATCCGAGGTTCGGGGCCGCACGAGTGCAAGGTTTGCCACATGCGGTTTCCGACCTTGCATGCACTGGGCGGGCACCAAAACGGGCACCGGGAATTACGGCAGCAGCGACAGAAAGAAAAGGCAGCAAAAGCAGCAGCCGCTGCTGCTGGTGCTGCTGCTGGTGCTGGTGGTGTTGGTACTGCTGGTGGTAAGGGAGGTGGAGAGAGGAGGAGCAGGGCAAGGAAGCAGCAGAGCGACAGTGTTGCTGCGGTAGCACCAAGGCAGGGAGACGGTAGAGCCACAATGACTGTTGACTCGACTCAAAAGTCACCTGGAAAGCAGCAGGGCAGCAGCGGCGTTGGTGCTGCTGTAGCACCAAGGCAGGGAGACGGCAAAGCCAGAGTGCCCTTTGAGTCGAACCAGAAGTCACCTGTAAGGCAGCAGGGGGGCAGTGGGATTGCTACCGCTGTCGCAGCGAGGCAGGAGGTCAGAGCCGCAGGGAGGCGAGAAGAGTCAGTATCCATAGAGAGGAAAGTTGCGGCGGGAGGATCAGGAAAGCAGCACGACGCGGGAACACAGCAACCTCAAATGCGAGATGCACCTGGGAAGCATGACTCTCCGCCCAGACATGACACCACCCCGCGGAAACAAGGCACGCGGCAAAAGAGAGGCACACCACAGAAGCAAGAGGGTGATAGGAGAGAGCGAGAAGCGTTCAAGTGCAGGGAGGGAATGGAGGGGGCGGAGGGTGCCCGTATTGGCGCTGGTACTGCTGGTGCTGGTGCTGGTGCTGCTGGTGCTGCTGGTGCTGCTGGTGCTGCTGGTGGTGGTGGCAGTGGTGGTGATAGTGGTGGTGGCAGTGTTAGCAAGGGAAGGACTGCGGCCAGTGTAACTGTTCAGTGCAACGTTGGTGCTGCAGGCCCTGCTGCTGTACCATGGGCGGCACAGTCACGCACGTTACAATCACAATCACGAGGAGGTGCCTTGGGCACAGCGTCTCTCCCTTTCACAGTGATTCAACAGCCGGTTACCGTTACAATGGGCGAGGTGAAGCCTGAGCCGGTGGATGGTTCCCATCCGACCGTTGGATGGAGGGGACGAGGCATGGGAAGCGATCCTGAGCGTACAATGGGAGAGCGAGGAGAGGGTGACGCGAGTGTTCCGCAGTGGGAGGAGCAGTTGGGATGTGGACAAGACGTGCCGACCAGGAGCGTACTGGAGAGTATTTTTGGAGGGCTGACTGCTCGGTCTCCCCCTGCTGGTGACTCCCAGATGCTGCAAGAGCAACGACAAGAGCAGCAGAAGGAGCAGATTGAGCAGATTGAGCAGCAGCTGCGCCATCACCACCAGAACCAGCAGCAGCAGCAGCAGCCACAACCGCAGGAGCAGCAGGGGCTGCAGGAGAAAGAGCAGCGTCGCCAGGAGGAGTTCCTGGTGGCAGCAGCAGGGAGAGGAGGAGCACGAGTAGGAGGAGGGAGGCCAGGACGAGGAGAAGGTTCAGGAGGATCCGGAGCAGACAGGAGCCTGCCAGAAGCTTCCAGAACACGTCCCACATTACAAGAGCTCCCAGAGAACCCAGGGCAACCAGGGCAGCAGCAGCACCATCAGTCTGCACTGCAGTGGGGCCAGCACTTTAAGCATCCCAAGCAGCACTTTGCACCTGCTTCAGAGCAGGGTGGCGCGTCTATCTTGCCTGGAGCCCTGCCTGTGCTGCTGCCGGAGCAGCATCCTCGTTATAGGGATGTTGCAGCGCCGCAGCTGAGGCCGAAACGAGAAGCTTGCGACGAGGGAGCAGCGGGAGAGGGAGGAGTTGCTTCTGGAGATGCGAGGAGGAGAAGGCTTTCCATGGACCATGCTTTTGCGTCACGCCGGGATGCAGACAATTCGACTCGAAGCACGCCTCGCGGTGCAATGCACAGCGCGAATCAGGGCTCCGCTTACAAGGCATTCGAATCCCCGGTTTCCAAGGAACCCTCGGAAATGTTTCTGGATCCTCCCGAGCCTTCAGGTTTATCCCTACCAGCACCAATCCCAGCACCAGCACCAAGGTCATCCCCAGCACTGGCATCAGCACCAGCTTCAAGCTCCCAGCTCATGACAGCCCCCTGGTTCGCCACCTCGCACGCCGCTCTGTCAAAATCGTTAGCGCACTATGCAGTGCTGTCGAAGTGGGTGGCGGAATCCAGTGGTGGGGAAGGGCCAAGCTCGGCCCTTGAGGCTCCTTCAAGCCATTTGTATCATGATTCACGGAAGCCACAGCAGCGCCTGAGAGAAGACTCATCGGAAGAAGGTGGTCCGAGGTGGCTACGTCCATCCGCTGGGTCTTCCTCCTCGGCTCTCACGTCAGATTCCACTCCCAGCCAGCCAGCCCGTGCTGCCGAGAGCTCCGTTGCTGCTCTGCTGTCGTCACAGGGTCGGGGAGAGGTTCGGGGAGAGGGTGATTGGAGTGCTGGTGGTTCGGTAGGTGGTGCCGTGGGGCGGCCGGAAGGGCAGTGGCAGCAGATTCAAGGGTACCAGGTGCAACAGCAGTTGGGGCAGCAGCAGCAACATCAGCTGCAACAGCGTCTAGCACAGGAGATGCAGCAGCAGCATTCAGCACAGCAGCGAATACAGCATCACCAGCACCAAGATACTGTCCGCTTGGCAACGCCTGAAAGAATCCAGCCCACAGCAGAATCTTCATATCCCCCATTTAAGCTGTCTCCACGAGAGATGCACGAGTTTGTGCACCTGGGAGAACACCACAGCTATGCTCGCAGGGAGAACGAGCAGCTTCGCTATAAGACTCTCCAGCAACAGCAACCAGAACGAGGACGACCAGTAGATATGCCGCAGCAAACGCAACAGACCAGTGTAGAGGAGAGTGAACGGGTGGAGAGAAGCCAGAGTGCTGCAAAAGACCCAGTAGCAATGGAGCCAGTGAACAGAGAGGATGCAGTAGCTGATTCTGAAGCAGGTGCCAGGTTAGATTTGAGATTGTCCCTGTGACAGCACAGGAGAAATTTTGTAGTTGTTCCTGTATTGATAGACATTTACCTGTGAGCAGCACAGGAGAATTTTTGGAGTTATACCTGTACTGATTAGTCATACAGATGTTATGAGTCATTATGTTATGGTGTAAAGAGGTTGGGAGTCCAACTGAAATCTTCGGTTGTCAACTGCTGATCTGCTTATTATTTATTTCCGGATAGCAAACTGACAAACAAACCACACAATTAGACATATATACAAGAGAATAACAGACCAACTTCAGAAGAAGGCTACCCACAGGAGAACCTGACTTCCACATCAATCCTTCAGGACCAAGAAGACAGTGGTGTCTTGGTAAGATATGCCAGCCAATTTGGCTGGCCGCACATCCAACTCACTCGCTGATCACCACCATCACCACCAGCGTCACCACCAGCGTCACTTGCCTTTCATGCTGCTTCTGCCCTACATGCACGGGCAGACAATCATCACGCAAGCAGCAGCTCAGAACTTTGCAAACATCTCAATCTCTCTTCCTGCAAAGGTACACCACAGTAGACACACCAGCTACTGCCACCGCGGCGACAGCAGCGGCAGCAATGGCACCACGCCCCGACACGAGAGACGACTCCCCCTGCCAGCTAGCCCACCCAGCCGAAGCGGTTTCCGCCTCTTGCTTCGCGAAGTTTTGGTGGAAACTGGTTACCCGGTTACAGCTGGGCCGTTTTGGCAACTGCCCCTGCTTCACTGGGCGAGAAGCGGAACTCTCAGAAGCAGAACCGAATCGCAGTGAAGGCGAGCCGCAGAGGTAACTATCCCACCGCGACGAAGAACTGGGAGAAGCAGACACGCAGGAAAGAGACGAGTCCGTTCTAAGAGACGCGCCACCGCTGACCTCGCCGCGAACGTCGCTAACGGCGGGATCGGCGGACGCGATTGATGTCGACGAATAGGAGGCCGACGAGCAGCTGTGGAAGCTCGCCGAGCGAAGCCGATTAACGGCGTCCAGCGTGGAAGATGGGCTATGAGCCACGCCACCAGCGTTGCACTTGGAAAACTCGCAAGGGCTGTTATTCGAACCTTTCGACGCCTCGCTGCTGGAGCGAGAAGTCTGAGGAGAGATGAACTGAGCCGAGAAAGACCGCGTGACTGCAGCGGGAGCGCAGGAGCAGACTTCCGAACCAGCGTCAGAAAGAGCCGAGCCAGAAGCCGAGCCGGGAGTACGTTCGGAAGAGGCTTCAGGGTCGGCGGAAACACACCGCATTGAACCGAGACGATCAGCTTGCTCCTCCACCTGCTGCCGCGGCCAGAGCCCCATCCTTCCCCGCCAAAGGCGCTCCACTACAGAATCACCCATGACGTGGAGCTCCATGACATCTGCCACGTCATCAGGCATGACTTGGCCGTACCAATCGCCCCGAACCTCCCCAGTTTGCCCAGCCGATGCAGCTGCTACCAACGCAGCGAGGGCTTCCGGAGGAAGTTGCTGCCTTCTTGCGCCGGACAGGAATCGATCCTCTGACCTCCTCCTTCCACAGTTATTGCAAGACGGTTTGCTCCGCTTGAATACAGACACGTTCCCAACACACGCATCCATGGAGACATTCCGCGACAGATGACAGCACGGCCAGACGTGCACGTCGATCAATCCTCGCCGCTCAATCTCCTCGCGAAATTTCGCCACAACTTGAGGGCCGATCGCACCGCAGAGTGATTCGCGGGTGACGTGGCAGCACACGAAGATATGGCACCCGGTAAGAGGTTCCGGCCAGAGCAAGCGAGGCTGCTCCTGCACGAGAGCCTCGTCCACGAAGCACTCAACATCAAAACGAGTCAGCGACCTGTAGGTGTGAAAAGACGGCAGGCAAGGAGACAGACGAAGACAAACGCGAGGGAGATAGAAGGTGAGGGAGCATTCGACGAAAAATGCAGACAAATATCCCTCAGGTGACGTGGCATTCTAACAAAAATGCAGACAAATATCCCTCATAAACCATTACGAACGAAGATTCTCTAGCAAAGATAACAATGCATAAGGCAAAGATTCTCTAGAACTTTACTGACCTGTAAATCAGCATTTCAGGGAAGACCAAAATGTCCCCATTGTAGGAACCAGGGACGTCCCTCCCTTCACAGACTGTAAACATTGTCTGAAATCATCAGAAGACAAGGGGGTACAGTACAGGACAGGAAGCAAGGTAAGTTACCAACATCCAGGATAAGCCACAGCAGAACTGCGATGGAAGCTTGATAACACGAAAAATAAGTGCACTACCCTGAACACATACAAAATTCAAGAAGCAGGAAGGACACGAACAAATGCGGAAGATAACACATGGCGAGCTCACCTTTCTTTGCATCTTCTCCTCGCGAGCTTTAATATCAGCACGAAGCCTCCTCGGCATGCAGTCCCAGTCGAACGAAAATGGGTTCTCAGGCCAGTTGGCAGGGCCCTTATGACACAAGAACACATGCCGGTCATGAAACGGCACACTACCGACCATGGAATCGTGAGTCTGAGCGTAACTCAACGGTATAAACGAATCTACACATCTTGGAGGCGAGGAGTGCGACGAGCTCCTGGAACTTCCCGAATAAAGCGGATCGGACCAGGAGTGCCTTCCCTTCGGCATACATGCCTCCCTAGACTTAGCATCACAAACGAGGAAATCCATCTCTGGGTAAACTAACTGAAACTATGAAACAGTGAAGAACGCTACGTGGAGCACGCGGAACTTTTGCTGTGTAGGTGATCTTGGATCACCGAATTGCATGGACTTGGAAAACAAGTCATGCGAGAAGGAGCAAGTTTGGAAGTCTAAATACGGGAGGCAGGCGACAGCGTGGGGTGGGGTTTGGTTTGGTTTGGTTGAAGTTCCAAACACTCGGCGCCCAAGATTGGAAGGGGGGAGGAGGAGTGGAGGGGGGAAAGGGTGGCGGGGAAAGCGGAAAGGCGGGGTGGTCGGTTGTTCTCAGCATTGCTCGTCAAGCCGCCAGGAGGTAGGGGAAGCGCGGAGAGCTGGAGGAGGCGGTGAAGGTGGGGGGAAGATAGACGGGGTTGGGGGGGGAGGAGAGGAGGTGGGCGAAGTGAAGAATTGAAAGGTGGACGGGTCACGCACGAATCGAGCGATGATGGAAAGGAGAAGCGGAAGAAGGCCCACGACCGAAGGACGGGTGGGGGAAACACGGAGTGGTGGTGGGGTGGGTGATGTGATGACGGGCAGGGGGTGTGTGAGAGGGGTGTGTGGGGGAGATTATGCGGGGTCGGAGTTTCGAGAACTCATAGAGGGGAGCCGCCAGAACGAGGGCGTTTTGAGGCTGATCAGGAGGAGACCACTTGCGGAGGGTTTGGGTTTGGCGAGTGTGCGGAGCATAAGGGGAAGCGGCGGACGGATACATGAGTTCGATGGTTTGGTTGGACATGGTTGGCTCGGCTGGTGAAATGGTGTGTGTTTGCGCTTACAGCAAGGCTAAGCCTCGAAAAGAGAGGAAGGCTCGGAAGAGAAGGATACGGATTCTGCGGGTGCCCCCCTGTTCGGGTTCTGCGGTGCACTGCTGCCCTAAGCTGTCGCTGCAACACTGAATATTTCATTCCCTCGGGCAACTCGACTGAAAATCTTGTTCCAAGCCCTCCTCTCCCTCGTGCCGCAATCTATGCTGGTGTGGA